AGAATGTCAGAGTGAGGTTTGCAAGCTGGAATGTAGGTACGATGACTGGAAGAGGAAGAGAGTTAGCAGATGTTTTGAAACGACGAAGAGTGAATGTTGCCTGTTTGCAGGAAACAAAATGGAAGGGCAATAAAGCAAGAGAGATTGGGGAAGGATACAAGTTTTATTATTGTGGAAGTGATGGGAAGCGAAATGGAGTGGGAGTTGTGTTAGATAGTGGAATGAAAGAACGAGTGACAGATGTGAAAAGAGTAAATGACAGAATGATAGTTGTTAAATTAATGATTGAAAACAAAGTAGTGAATGTTGTAAGTGTGTATGCTCCGCAAACAGGCTGTGAAGAGAGTGTGAAAGAGAAGTTTTGGGAGGAATTTGATTGTATGATGATGGGAATACCTGAGAGTGAGGATGTTTATATGGGAGGAGATTTTAATGGACATGGGAGAGTGAATGACGGGTATGAAAGAGTACACGGTGGATGGGGGTACGGAGTGCGGAACCGTGAGGGGGAAGTTCTTCTGCAAGCAGCATGTGCTTTCGACCTGGCTGTAGTAAACACGTGGTGGTTAAACGAGATCAGCATCTTGTTACTTATAAAAGTGGCCACCACGCGACACAGATGGACTATTATCTGATAAGACGGAACGAAATCAAGAGTGTAAAAAACTGCAAAGTGCTTCCAAGTGAAGACTTAGTATCCCAGCACCGAATTCTGCTGGCTGACATCTGCTTAACTGTTCGCCTCAACAAACATAAGGATCGTCCCCCACCCAAAATAAAGTGGCATTTGTTGCATAAGGAGGAGTATGCAAGTGAATTTAGAGAGCTAGTTGTAAACAAGATGATAGAGATGGGTGATATGGAAGGAATGAGTGTGAATGAGTGCTGGAAGGAAATGGCTGATTGTGTCCGAAGTGTGGCAAGGAAGGTGTTAGGAGAAACAAAAGGGAAGCGTATGATAGATAAGGATGGGTGGTGGTGGAGTGAAAGTATTAGAGAAGTTTTGAGAGAAAAGAAAATTTCCTTTAAAGAATGGCAGAGCGTAGAAGACCAGAATGAATCCATAAAAGAAAGTAAGAGAGGGGCGTATAAAGAATGTAAGAAGAGAGCGAAGAAGGAAGTTGCTATTTGTAGGGCAGAGGCGCAAGATAAATTATATCGGTCCCTTGAAAGCCCCGAAGGCCAAAAACGACTTTTTCAAATTGCAAGAGCGAGAGAAAGGAATGGAAGAGATGTTTCACATGTAAAATGTATAAAAGATGATTCTGGAAGGATTTTGACTGACGATGAAAGTATAAAGAAGCGATGGAAGGAGTATTTTGAGAAATTGATGAATGAGGAGAATGAATGGAATGGTATGCTTGAAAACCCACCAGTGAATATGGGCTTAGTGCGAGAAATTAGTGCGGAAGAAGTGAAAATGGCTGTTAGGAATATGAAGAATGGGAAGGCGGTCGGCCCAGATCGAATACCAGTAGAAGTGTGGAAGTTGCTGAGTGCGGATGGATGGAAGTGGTTGAGTTTATTTTTCGGCAAATTGTTGCAAGAAGAACAAATACCTGAGGAATGGTGCAGTAGTATACTGGTCCCCATTTTTAAAAACAAAGGAGACGTTCAAACTGCAACTGCAGCAGTTGCCGGGGAATAAAACTCATGTCACATACGATGAAAGTCTGGGAAAGAATAATAGAGAGAAGAGTGTGAGATAACACAAAACCAGTTCGGATTCATGCCCGGTCGAGGTACGACAGATGCCATTTTCACATTACGCCAATTGTGCGAAAAGTACAAGCGCGTTTATAAAAATCTGCACATGGTTTTTGTCGACCTTGAAAAGGCGTACGATCGGGTTCCCCGTGAGGTTTTGTGGTGGGCGTTAAAGATGAAAGGTATGCCTGGGAAGTATGTGAGGTTAGTCCGTGCTATGTACAGAACATCCCGTACATGTGTACGATCTGCTGCGGGAACTACGGGCAGTATCGATGTGGCTGTAGGGCTGCACCAAGGGTCGGCATTGAGCCCTTACCTCTTCCTACTGATTATGGACGCTTTGACGTCGGACCTGCAGGATGAGGCACCCTGGTGCATGCTCTTTGCCGATGACATCGTGCTTGTCGGGGAAGAAGGCATCGAGGTAGAGCGCAGACTGACGGGGTGGCAACAGAGGCTGGAAAGTGTTGGCTTGAAGATCAGCAGATCCAAAACCGAATATCTGTGCTGTGATTTCGGCGGCCTTTCCAGTCCTGTACCCATGTCGTTGGATGGCGCTATACTGCCTACCTGCTCAGATTTCAAGTACCTCGGTTCCCTCATTCAAGGCGACGGCGAAATAGATAGAGCTGTGCAGCATAGGATTAACGAAGGGTGGATGAGATGGCGACAGGTCACGGCCACAACATGCGATCCCCGAATGCCAATAAGGCTGAAGGGGAAAATTTACAAATCGATCATCCGACCTGTCGTCATGTATGGAAGTGAATGCTGGGCCGTGAAAATAGATTGCATGCGAATGAAATGAGAATGTTACGATGGATGTGTGGTGTGACAAGGATGGATAAGATAAGGAATGAGTATATAAGAGGAAGCCTGAAAGTAGCGCCAGTGGTAGAAAAGGTGAGAGGAAGCAGATTGGCATGGTTTGGGCATGTGATGCGGAGGGATGATATACTCATGTCACAAAACGAGTGTTGAATATGAATGTGGAGGGACACACGGGCAGAGGAAGGCCGAATAAAAGATGGATCGATTGTGTGAAGAGTGATATGAGAATGAAAGGAGTAAGTATGGAAATGACGGCTGATAGAGAGGAATGGAACAAGAAGATTTACTGCGCCGATCCCAGATAATGGGAAATGGTCTAGAGAATGATGATTTTACGTATACTTATTTTGAACTCCGTGCCTATAAATTTTCCATGCCTCTGCCATAACTTTGTGCTTTATATTAAGATTCATTCTTCACAAAAAAATGGATAACGTTACTAAAAATAGTCTAAGCATTTATTATCAAAATGTCCGCGGGCTTCGTTCGAAAACAACGGTATTTTTTCCGTAATTTATGCATAAGTACTTACCACATTATAATCCTCACGGAAACGTGGCTACTTGATGGAATTTTCGACTCAGAATTATTTGATGATAGATATATTGCGTGGAAGCGTGATCGCGATTATAGCTTGACCCATCAAACAAGAGGAGGCGGTGTATTAATAGCTATACATAAATGGCCCGCACATTATAACTAACATATTTTTCTACCGCTGAAGACTTGTGGGTGACGATAACACTACACAATAATAAAACACATACCAAAACAAATTTGCATATATATGTGCTATACCTACAAAATACTGGTAATAGTTTCTCTGTGCAACTAAAAATTTTTTCAACTAACCTAGAACGATTTATTTCAACATATCCTGATGATAGGTTTTTAGTGGCAGGCGACTTCAACTTATAATTAAGTGCTATATCATGGCTTCCAAATGGTGATCATTTTTGACATTTGTGAAAATTTACTAGTTGACGAACTAAATCTTCTGGGTCTAAATCAATATAACGGCGTTGTGAACGCACATGGTAAAATTTTAGACTTAGTCCTGTCAAACTTTACTCGCGTAGTCACCAGCTGTTATGACCCTCTTGTTCCCATTGATCTACACCACGGGGCACTCCTAATTGAATCTCATCTTCTTGATTTCATACCACTAAGGCCTGCCCCTCGCGATAGGTTTCTGTACAACAAAGGCGACCTTCGATTGGGCTAGCGAATTACATTCAAGAACGCTAGATAAATGCGTCGATTATTTCTACTCAACCTTCCATATTTTGAGAGATAAATTTATTCCATCCAAAACTATTGTTAAACATCAATACTCACATTGGTACTCTCTAGCATTAATTAAGGTGATTAAGAAAAAATATAAATATCATAAAAAAATTAAAATTTACAATAATCACAGTGATCATGAATCTATGAAATTACTTCGTGTTAGGGCGAAAGCCTTAGAGCTACCTAGCATCTGTTGAAAACTCTATTACTAAGAACCCTAAAACTTCTGGAGTTTTACAAAATCGCGCTCGAATTCAAACGTTATGCCTAGTACTCTTTTTTATAACAATAAAGTAGTCAAAATTAGCAACAGTATTTGTGAAGCGTTCTCAGAATACTTTAGTTCTAACTTCTTGGATGATACTAGTACACAGCCTACCTCTACGGCACGGAGTTCAAAATAAGTATACGTAAAAAAGATATATAAATGATTAAGCAATGTTTAATAAGCGAGATAGTGAGAGCAAGTAAAAAAATAAATATGCAGGTATAAAGTAAACAATAAGCGGTCGACGGGATCGATGATAAGCGGCACAAATAACCGGTTTGGCAAGTGCGAGTCCGAGCAAACGATAGCACAATAGGGAAGGCGCGTAGGTAAGAGTTGCGTAGTAAATTTAGGTCATAGCAAAATACAACAGCTAGTAATGCTAATGGAATTAAGTTATATAAAAATAAGGACTTAAAGTTGATTAGGCAATTTTGTTTAAATCACTTTCTTTTTGTACAATAAAAGTATGACTGGTATCGTTTTTGCGCACATGAATTTTGCCGAACTTCACCCACACATAACTGTAGTTTTTCTCCTTAGCGAGGGCCTTCAACTTTGTCAGCAATGATTTAAAGTGTGGTGTTAGGTGGTCGTTTACAAAGATGCGATTCTTGCTTTCTGTGAATCCTATGTCCTTAGCATATAATTCCTTCTTAGCGCGAGCTGTTGCAATGAAATCTTCTTTTGTGTATCGATTTATATATCGAACAATTATTAATTTATCTTTCGAGTTATGCGAGGGAACTCGGGCGATGTAATCTATTTGGGATTTGGGGACGTCGAAACCGATGGCTTTGCAGAGAGCTTCATGAATCTGAAATAGGTTCTCACCGGTTTTAATAGGCACATCCTTGATCTCGATATTGTTCAACCGAGACCACTGCTCCTTAAGTAAGATTTAATGTTGGATGCGATCAAAATCAACGCGCGTTATGGCAGGCTTGTCCTTGATATGATTTATCTCTGATACGTTTTCCTCCATTGTTGCGATTCTGGCGTCAAACTCGTCCAATCGCTTGTTGTTTTCATTACAAGCGTCTTTTAACTCCTCCAGTTCGCACTTGATAGTCTTGACATCTTCCAACAATTCCGGTATGGAGTTAACCCTACTTTTAATATCGCGGATCTCTTTCAATATGACTTCGTTGATCGATGGTTCCTTTTTTGTATTCTTGCAATGAGCACACCTCCATTCTGATTTTTTGTCTTGATTGAATCTACGATAGCTTTTTTCTTCCAGGCCAGCGCAACCGTAGCAGAGATGGTTTTTACAACCATAGCACGATACACAATTATTAATAGTTTCTTGACAAATTGCACACTGCATGGTTATTTAGATAAGCAATTTTAAAGATCTATTTTTAGGTACACAATTTTGAACGTAACGCACTAGTTGATAATAAAGCTTTACGCGTTAACTGCAGTGAACGTTGATGTCTTCTTCACATGTCGAAGCAACACATGGAGGTTTCGGGCCTCGGGGTAAGCCCCCATTACCCGTGCTGTCCTCGCGTTCCACCACTATGGACCGGTCCTGGGAGCCTTCTAATGGCATTGTAGGTGTCATACGATTTGTCGCAATCGGTAAATTTTTCGTAGTCGGTTATGACTACGAAAAAAGGAGGTTATCTAATAAAGTCGGAGTTGGCCTTTCAGCGGCATTGAGGGTTGTTACTCGACTCTCTAATCGATATAGAGAGGAGTTCTCTTGGATAGGGTCGCCCGTCCGGAGGGCGAGAGTGTAGCGGCGCAAAGTTGTTTAGATGTAAGTGTGGCCCGTTGTCTGCACGGTCGAACAGTCCGCGCGCCAACCGGGCCACAAACTCCTGGATGGTGATGATCTTCAGGTTGGCCTCTATGACGTCATTCCGGACGTAGCGACCCGCACTGACGATGGTTCTTAACGCCATATTTTGCTGGGCCTGCAGTCGCCGCCTCAGAGGCTCGCTCAGAAGCGCGTACCAGGCCGGAGCAGCATAGGTGATGATTGATCTGATATAAGTCTTATAGACACGCACTTTGGTATTAAGTGGTAACTTGGATGCCAGGACCGGACGTAGCATCGCCCGCGCACATCGTGCTCTGCGGACAACGAGGTCGACGTGCGCAGTCATGCGCAGCGCCCGGTCGATCCGGCACCCAAGGTAGGTCACGGCCTTCTCGTACGCGGTCTGCTGGCCATTGAGGGTTAGTTGAGGTGGTAGGTTCCTGAGGCGGCGAGTGAGCAGAGCGGTCGTCTTACCAACATTGACGACCATCCTCCACTCATCTAGCCATGGTGGCAACAGGTCCAGGAGGCGTTGCATCCTGGCAGCGGCAATATGGGCTCTTCTGGAAGAGGTGAAATAAGCGCTATCGTCCGCGTATAACGCCAATTCCACGTCGTCCTCCCATTCTTGCAGCCTGCCCGCCAGGGTAGGGATGTCGTTGGTATAAGCCGCGTAGAGGACTGGAGACAAACAGCTGCCCTGATGAACGCCGGCTCTGATGGTTCTGGTTGCGGACTCGGCGCCCTCTACGCAGACGTAGAACTTCCTGTCTGCCAGGAAAGACGCCACTAGCCGCAACATAGCAGGAGGGACACTGGTCTGTTCTTCCAATTTATAAAGTAATCCAGAATGCCACACCCTGTCGAACGCCTTCTCGATATCGAGAAAGACGCCCAACGTAGTGCGGCCACGGTTGTAATCGGCGGCAAGCAGGTGCAGCACTCTGGTCAGCTGTGTTGCTGTAGAGTGACCCCTCCTGAATCCGTGCTGCTCCGCCCGAAGTTGGATGCACGGGCGGAGGCGTCTTAGCAACAATCTTTCAAGCAGTTTAGCTATGTGTGGTAGCAGCGTGATCGGTCTGTAGCTGGCAGCTCTACGCCTGTCCTTCCCGGGTTTCGGCAAGACGATTACTTTGCCTTTCTTCCAGTCATCTGGGAAGTGGGATGTCCGCAGTATCCCATTGTAGAGTCGACCAAGCTCTACTAGGACTCTATGGGGCAGCTGTCGGAGTGCAGCGTTGGTAATCCCGTCGTGCCCCGGCGCCTTCCTCGGTTGCAGGCGGGTTGCTGTCCACCGCAGTTCAGCGGGGGGAGATGAACCACTCTCCTGCAAGAGGCGGCGCGGGCGACGACAGGAACTCCTGTACGCGACTCTCCTTTTGGGCATGAAGCTCCAAGAACTCCGCACTTGCTGGCTTCGGCATAAATTGCTCCTCGAAGTGCTCGACTAGGATATCCGCTCTACCCTTGGCATCGTAACGACGTTCACCCGCGTTGTTGGTCAGCGGGCAAACGGGAGGTTTGGCTTTAGTTAACTGTCGGTTCAGTTTGTAGAGCGACGCATCATGCTCTTCCGCCTTCCATATGCGCCGCTCCCAGGCATCTCCTCTATGTGCCTGGACTGCAACCGACAGTTCCTCCGACAAGGTGTTCAGTTTCGTTTTGATTCTCGGGCAGCGAGTACGCGCCCAGAGTCTCCTTAGGGCCCTTTTTCTCTTAATCTGCACGCAGATGTGTCGCGGCAGATCATCCCTTTTGGTGGACATCGGGACGATCGTAGAGGCAGCGTTGAGGGCCTCTTGTATCGCCTTTGTCATATTTGCGGCTGCGGCCTCTACGTCGTCCGCTGTGTTCAAGGGGTGGTGTGCTGGAGGTCTCTCCTGTAGGTGTTTGTGGTAGAGCCTCCAGTCGACACGTGTCTTCACTGTTCTGGGCGGCGTAGTCACCGCCTTTAAGCCAAGGGTAATCTCGGGAGGTGCTGTGATTCCAGGTCATACAGCACCTCTACCACTATCGGTTAGTTGATGTTCCTAGCGAGCACGATGTCCAATACATCCGGACGACTTCGTGGATCCGTCGGAACATGAGTGGGTTCTTCGGGACCTAAAACGTCGTAGCCGTGTCTTTCGGCGTCTTCAAAAAGTGCATGACCCGGCGGGTTGATCAGTCTAGATCCCCACGCCGGGTGTTTGGCGTTTAGGTCCCCGGCGATGATGGTCGGTGTTTCGCCTTCCATTACCGTCCGGACGTCTGAGGAGCAAAATGGAGACCCTGGCGGGCGGTATGCTGCGTAGATCCTAAGTTCCTCGCCCGCCGCCTCCATTTTTATGCCGATAGAGCGCATAGGCTGGAATTCCGGTAGGTCTAGTTCTTGATGGACGATGTTCCTTCTCACTAGGACCACTGTCCCTTTGTAGGCGGCCCCTTGAGAAGTGACCTCGTTCCTCCTATACAGATGGTAGTTAGGCAGCTTTATGCGTGTGCTCGGATTAAGTTTCGTCTCTCCCAGCAAGATGACCTGTACGTCTTGTTGTTGGGCGACGGTGCGGAGTTCTTGTAACTTCTGCTGGATTCCACCTGGGTTCCAGTAGAGGAGGCGCAGGTTAGACTCCTCCGCTGTAGTGCCGAGCTAGTAGATTAGCCAGCGCCTTCATAACCGCTGTGATCGGATCTGTCCCGGCTCTGATATCAGCCAGGACTTGACTGCCGACCTTGATTGCTATGCCAACCAAACGTTGGATGGCGTCAGCAGTCTCGAAGCCGGCTAGAGGTGTTCTAGATGTGTGTGCGGATGGCGCTGGTCTCGGGAGTTGGTGTACATTTCTTTGTATATGGGTAGAGCGCGCTCTATGTGTAGAGCGGGCTCTATTTTCTGATAGAGCCCTTTCTGGCACTCTACCCATTCTGGCTTTCTTGTCATCCATGGTAACCTGCGCCTGGGCTATCGTTACCGTTGGGGTTGGGGTAGAGGTTGCTGCCTGAGGAGGAGGCTGCACCTTCTTCTTCTTCTTCCTCCCCCGCTTACTCCTCTGAGAGGTTTGGCGCTCTATGGCGTCGTTAGCGGGGGGCTGAAGAGTCGCCCCGGTGGTTGCCTTTGATGTAGTGATGGTGGGCACCACCGTTCCTGTTGGTGCCGTAACGGGTGGAGGGGGGGCAGGTTGCCTTCCTTTTCCTCTAATTGTAGTCCACCCGTCTTCCTGGACCACGGCCCTGGGACGACTTTGGGGGACCCTCTTGGGCTCCTCTGGGAGTAGTCCCGGTAGAGTGATCCCCTGCTTCCTTGCAATCCTCCTCAGGACTGGGCAGCGGCGATCGTTGGCAGTATGGTTCTTAGCGCAGTTAGCGCATCGCGGTTCCTCATCTCTACCCCTTGGGCAGTTGCTGGCGATATGGTCTCCGGCGCAGCGAACGCACTTCACTGGCCTGAAGCAATTCGTGGACGCATGGCCAAAGGTCTGGCAGCGGTGGCACTGTGAAGGGCCCGCTCTTCCTTGCCAGACCTCTATGACGACTCCTCTCATGAAGAGGAGCTCGTCGATCTGGTATAATTCATTGAGGCGCTCCAGGCTCAGGTGGTCCAGCTGCGCGAAGTAGAGGCACCCAGGTCTGCCTCTACGGGGTGGGATCCCTTTGACATATCTAATCGGGAACCCCTTAGCCCTGATAGCCCCCTCTATTGCAGATGGATCTGTGCCCACTGGTAGTCCCCGAATACCCACTTTCGTGGGCTTGTCCTCCTCGGGGGTGTAGCAGTACCAGGACATAGCTGGTACTTTCTCCGTAATCTCAATCAGGTACTTTTGTACCGTCCGGAATTCTTCCGGACTCTGGGGGGTGAATCTGACCCCCTTGCCGAACGGACGAGCATTCGGTGGGTGGCCCAGCTTCTTATTAAGTACTTCGAAGTGCTTCGTCCAATCCGGCAAGCACTCAGCCACTGTAGGTGGGTACCTTTTAGCCGATTCTTCCGGCGGCTTTGGTGTTTCGGCTGTCCTGGTACTTGGTACTGCCGGCGCAGCTACCAGTTGGGCATAGCTGGTCGAAGGCCTCTGACCATCATCTGATGGCCGGCCCGACGGGTTGGTGGTAGGCGCGGACGGTGAATGTCCGGCAGACGTACTCGGCGCTAGGGTCGCATACGTGGTGGCACTCCATCCGTATGACCCTTCCCCGCCTTGTTCCAGATCAGCAGCATCCATAGTGATGTGTTGTTCCGGTGTCCTAGGTGGGGTGGGTTTAATCGGCGATGGCGATTTTGGTGGTGATCTCCTAATCGGCTTTTCAGGTTGGTGGTCCGATTCTCCCTCAGATGATGAGTAATCCTAGGAGTTGGTAGTACTGTAGCATCGCCTCTTCTCCTGGAGGGATGCTGCTGTTTCTGGAGGCGTGTGCCTTCTCTGGGTCTTCTTGGCCCGCTGAGGTTGGGGGAACGGTTCCCGCCCGGTCGTACCTCCAGGTACGATGGGCGAGAGCGCGGTCCTCGGTGCGGGCTCTTTACCCGGTGAGGAGGGTTTCCTTGTCGGGATCTGAGAGTAGGAGGACACTACTCTAGTCCTTTC